GATGAGACCTGGAGCACCCTGGGCTGGTGGAAGGTGTCCCTGCCCACGGCAGGGGGTGGCACTGGATGGGCTTTAAGGTGGCTCCCAACCCAAACCACTCGGTGATGATCCCATGACAGATGCGTTGATGGTCCATATTTTCCCGACAAGCAGGGCCAAGCGAGGACGCAGGGACAACTCCCCTGCTCTCCCCAGCTCCCGAAGGACCCGAGTTTCGCGGCTCAGCCCTCGTGGGTGCGGGGAGGATCCATACGGCCACCTACGGCCATATGAGCCATAGGAGCCATACGGGGATGATATAAATAGCAAACCTGCAGCTCGCGGGCCGTGTGCTCCCCCACAGCCACGCTCCCGGGAAGGAGCATCCCGAGCCTGCCCGGGGCTCCCCCACCACCGCGGGCAGGCGAGGCTCCCTCCGAGCCCCCCCAAAAAAATCCCTAAATGCACCCAAAGAGCAACAGAGAGAGAGCGAGAAACGACACCCCGGCTGCTCGCAAACGCCTTATTCATTTGAGAACACAAAAAACCCCAACGCGGTTTGCAGGGATGAGCGGGGGCTCCCCCCCGACGGGCAGCACTGGGCTGGGGGTGCTGAGCCCCCCGGGGCAGGTCCCGGACCCCTCCACCTGTGGCTGCAGCCCCGGCGGGGCCCCCCCCGGCGCCCCCCCCCCCCCCCCCCCCCCCCCCCAGTCCCCGGGGCGGCCCCGCCGAGCGCTCCCACCTCTTCCGCTCCATGGCGGCTCTTCCCGGCCCGCTCCCGCCTGGCTCCGGCCGCCTCCCGCCGCCTCTTCCCGGCCGCCGCCGGCTCCTCCGGGCTCCCGCTGCCCCCGGGAGGCGGCGCCGCGGACCCGGCTCGTCCCGGTCCCACTCCTGATCCCAACCCGATCCCGATCCCGATCCCTCCCGCCGGGCCCCGCCGCTGCTCCCTCCGCCCGCCCCCGTCGCTCCGCGCCCGCCCCTTCCACCGGCCGCCCGCCGCGCCCGGATCCCTCCGCCCGGATATAGTCCCTCCCCCCCCCCCCCCCCCGTGCGCCCCCCCCTCTCCCCACAGCCCTGCTCCCCTTCCCCCCCCGGGTACCCCCGGTCTTACCGCAGCCCCCGTCGCCGCGGGCCCCCGCGGTGTCCCCGCACGGCCGCTTTGGGCATCTTCCCCCCGCGCCCTCCCCGGCCGCACTGGCGGCCCCGCGACCCCCCGCCCGCGCCCCCCGCAGCGCCGGCCCCGCCCCGCGACCCCCG